CTCACTGTCTGGACATTGCCATTTCAAAGGCACCCCAGGACAATGCTGAAACCATGCTCAAGGACAAAATGGCTGTTATATACTCTAGTTGCTGGCAAGGTGCATGGGACGCCTTTAAACGCAAACAGTTTGTGCATTACTTTCAAGATCAGTGGGTTGATTATGCTGAGCAATGCATGATCTCCAAATGAGATGTTCCACTGCAAGGCACAACACTAACAACTTTGATGAAAGAAATCATCACAACCTTGAGTATAGTTTCTTCAGCTGAACATCACTTTGTTGACCTGATGACATGATCCACACACTAGTCAAAAACATCAAACCCAGATTTTGACAAAGTGTCATCACCACTACTCTCAGCTTTTGTCCACAATGTTTGACTATAATTCAAAATATATCAAAAGGGTTAGCTGATATGTATACATAAACTCTGCATCATAGTTGAACCTGGTGCAAATGGGAAGGGGAGATATTGCAATATTTTTGTTTATATTCCTATTGAACACTGACCAATGGTGTATCTTGTTCAGTGGCCCATTAATAGCTTTACTTGACCCCGTAAAATCAAATACTCCATCAGCAGTACACCTCATGCTAAAGGCTGTATGGGTCTTTTCAATCACTGTACTTGCCCATAATTCAAGAAACATAAGTTGGTGTGCAATCACATGTAAGTGCATTCAAGGAAACAGGATTCAATGTCTGCAAAACCAATTCCCTTGAAATTGACATTAGAGTCTCTCATATTTATCCTCAAATGATTGTTGAGCCTACAGACATCATGTATTGGGTTGATTGCAATTTCATCAACTTTCCTGTAAACCCTTGCCGCCAATTTGTCCATATTGGTTGATCTCTGGCTTGGCACAAACCTCATTGACAAATGGCTATTCACCTCCCCAACATTGTCAACCAATTCAACCCCCAGTTCCCAATTCTACTATACACCAACACTGTGTCTGTATTTGTGTAGCAGTTTGATGTGCTCACACGGAGAGGTCTGAACAAAAAGTGATTGTGTTTTTATTGTGTTCTGGACTCAGTGAATCCTGTACAAGTCTAAACACTCCTTTGTGGCATAAAATCCGCGCCAAGAGATTCCCTCATTGCCGGTTTGATCCTTCAAGAAAGGATCAACACCGCCTTTCTTCATTGTCCAGGGTCTTTCAGCCATTGAGTCTTTCTCCTGATGTTGTACACAAACATTGAGAGTTTGTCATTAAGATTTTGAGTTATCAGAGCTCGCTTGGAACCAATGTTTAAGTATTGGGCTTGTTTTATTTCAACATATCATCATTTAACAGACTTGTGATTTCACTCAATCCCTTCCCAACTACGTCTCTAACTTGAACTCACTGATAATGGGTCTGTCCAGAAGTCTCCAATGTTTAGATCTGTGTTCCCAATCATCCTAATGTTCTCTTTGCAAACAAACAGCATCTCACTACTGGAAGAAAGGTGGAGCCATGATATCCCTGAAAGCTTCAAACGCTTTGGTTCACAACTCTATTCCAGAGTCTACCAAAGCAATATGCCAATCACTGGCTACTTTTGCAAGATAATTGCTTGGATACACCAATACAAAGAAGGCTTACCATCTGGCCCTAGTCCCGATGAACGCTATATACGCAAGTTGTTTGAGATATAACTCTTGAGATTTTGAGAGCGCAGGAATTGGTGTCATCAAAGTGAAATTGTGACACCAGCCTCCAATTGGCTTCAAAGGGAAGCAATGTGACTACTGCACAATATATTGAGATGTTTTTTTGAGAACAACTTTGGGGGTTGGTAGCTGGACCACAACCGTTTTGCAGACCGGAATTTGGAACAAAGCCCAATGCTCCTATGTTCTTGGCATTTCACCATCTGATCACCTGGACAAAGTTCAATAGGGCTCTTGTACTGTAGGCTTGCTTGGGAGTGTCTTGCCTCTACAAGAAGTCTTTTGTGTGTGCACGTCAACGTGCTACACAGCCACACAGTGCAACCTCCCCAGCTTCTCAATCTCAAATCTCACACTGTTTCTTCACAGCCACCACATCTGTATCCCCCACCTCCTCAAGGAATCCATCCTCAGATGTTGCATCAAGACACAGCTAGACCTGCCTCCACGTCTGGCTGGCTTCCTGAAGTCACAATTCCAACATTTGGGTCTGACAATGATACTTTTATTAAGTCATACAATCAACACCCCAGTGCTACTAACAAACCACCACCACCCAATTGTGAAGTTGTTGAAATAGGAGCTCGAAGAAGCCGTGGCTATGCCGTTAGTGATGATGAACCTGAGGTAACAGGTACAGATGTGAGTACACGGCACAAGCCTCAGTGCTTCAAAGAGCAACTAAAAATAGGAAACAGACCTGTGCGTAAAAGCAACAGATCGTAGGCAAAGATGATAGATGTGGTTTGTAAGTAAATGAGAAATAAAAGTTCTTTCCGATCAAAAACATAGATACTAACCTGGGGTAACAGGTACAGATGTGAGTACACGGCACAAGCCTCAGTGCTTCAAAGAGGAACTAAAAATAGGAAACAGACCTGACCACCAAACAAGTTAGTAAGAGAAATAAAAGAAGAGATATTAAGAAATAAATAAAACGCTAAACAAACCTGTGCATAAAAGCAACAGAATGTAGGCAAAGATGATAGATGCGGTTTGTAAGTAAATGAGAAATAAACTAATAAAACGTAATTGTAGTAAAAATTGTTAGGAGAATGAATTGTACGTAATTTGTAAAAACGAGACACTTACAGTTCTTTCCGATGAGGAAAGAGACTGAGTGGAACAACAGATAATATATATAAAAGAGAGCTCATATGACAAAAACAAACAAATAAATAAAATCTCAGGTCACATACGACCTATTCCCAAAATAGAAAAATGAAAAACCAATAACCGCAACTTTCCTTCTCTAACCAAACTCATCATGCCTTCTTTTGTATCTAAAATCTACACAATCTTCTTTCTTAATTTGATCTTCATTAACAACTTAACAACACTGTCACCGGAAGTCCTTGACTAATAAACCATACTACTGACAATCAAACTAAACACTTAAGAGGAGATGTAAGATATCACAACACCAATGCCCTACCATCCTTTGCCCATTCCTGCTCTGATTCCATCTCACACAATGTGCCCGCCTGACTCTCCTGTTGTCAACCACATGTGTCAACCAGTACTTCCAGATCCCAGCTTCAATTGTCAGCATGAATTTCCAGGTCCTTGGGACAATAAAACCTTGGCCACCTCATTCAATTTGGTGAACCAACATGTTAATCCAAATTCCATTCAGCCAAATGAGTTTAAAGTGTCTTGCTGCATGTACAACAACTCCTCCAACCACTTCTCTGGAACCTCTTCATTTTATCAATCAAGCATACCACCTGCCTATCATTCATGAGAATTGGACCTCTGCCCTCTGCCTCTCCACCAATTCAACAGAGCTTTTGAATTGACACAGCCAATTTGGAATTTTAGCTGCAACACCTTGACAACAATCACCATGTTTCTCTCAATTCACACCCTCCTATCCCTCCAGCTCAACACACAATGGCCCCATCTCCATTTATATCCCCAAGCGCAATCACTAAGTCTACCTTGCAGGCATATGGCCTCAATGACAAATACCCCCTGAACGCTCTGTTCCCTAAGGTCCTGCCCTTGCGTCTGGCAGTAGTGCTCAGCATCACCAGCCTACACCAAGCATGTACAATAGCCCTCTGCTTACCCAGATGCCATGAGTTTCCAATGAACTACATGATTTCTCTTTATCTAATTGCTTTTTCTTAGGCATGGCTGTGGGCATATACAGCAACCACATCCTCAACCCCACTTCCACTCCTCAAATGCCCCACCCACAGCCTTGGGGTCTTTGTGGCACACCCAACCCTTGGAATCTTGTGTCAGCCATGAATCTCTCAACTCTGGCTTTGACATTGGTCTTTCCAGCCACCACAAGTTGGATCTAGTCAAACAGCTCTTCCAACAACACACAGATACCATGGAGGCAATCTTTTGAGAATTTCCAAATCTGGGGCAATTCCACCAGCCAACATTGTGCCATGATACATAGCAGCCATTTAATTGAAATTGGTGCAAGGGTGCTTGAAGTGTTTGGATCTGACAGATTCAGCCTTGCATGGCGCTTTTGTGGGCTTTGCACTGGGAAAAGGGTGAAAAAGCAAGATCAATTCTGACTTGTTTCCTTCCTTTCCCTCTTAAATTTCCTCCATTGTCTGTAGAATCTGGTTCTCTCACCTCCGATCTTAGGGATCAAATCCAGTAACTCAAAAGTGAAGTTTTCATCTTGTTCAGCATGTATCAAACCACACTCATGATTCTCACATTCTCTCTTTGACTCGCTTTTTTATCTCCTTTGGCCACTCTTTACATTTGTACTACACAAAGTTCTTCTGGAACTTTTCCACGAAGGTTTCAGAACACTTTTCCACGAAGCCAGAAAAGAAAATTTGGCTGTGTTCTGGCTTCATGGACTTGTGGAAAAAAACCCAATTTGAATGCCCTTTGCCCCTAGGGTCCAAAAGACTCTGTGATCCAACCCTCAAGGCCTCTTCATCTTCCCCCCTCAATCACCACTCAATTTTTTCACCCCACGTCCAGCTTACAGCTCCGTCCTCATACACCACGCTATGGCCCAAAAAGGACACCACAAACAACCAGAACACTACATACATCTGTCAACTGATGAAAGAAACAAGCATTGCATATTCGAGTAGCTACCATAAGGGGTGTTTTTTTATCATTCCTTTCTCTTTAATAATTCATGTTCCTTGTTGACCGATGTGTTATTATTTACATTTTGAAATGTATCAACTCACCGATTTGATTGGTTGATATGTTCAATCTATGAGTGTAATTTTTTTCCAATGGCCTTTGATTCTATCATTGGTCTCAGTTCTTATAACTGTTGATTGCATCATTGTGATTATCTTAGAAGTTGATTGTATGTAATTATAATTGATCTGGAGAATCGATTGGGAAATCAATCATAATCAAACTCAAATTGAGTATATGATTACCTTCTTAACAGTCTCACTTATTGATTGGGACTTGTAAGTATGTCTTACTAATCGATTGAAAGAATCGATTACTCATTGATTGGAAGAATCAATTAGAATCAAATCAAGTATATCCACACATTGTCAATGAACTGATTCTCATTAGGATTTGGAAGAGCCTGATTGATTTTGAACAATATTGATTTTGGATCCTTTCACTGACATTGATTCAAATGAGATTGCCAAGCTTGATAGGATGAAGTTTTATTTGATAATACATACAAAAAAAGATTGAAATGGACTGTTGGATCTTGAACAAGATTGATATCGGTCTGAATTGATTTCTGAGTCAAAAATTAGAACTTGAACAACATTGATAGTTGATATTTTAACCGACAGCCTCTCGGATCAAGAGTTGGAAAGTAGGAGGGGTCAAGATTGGTGGTGGTATTTTGTGTGGAGTCATTGGTGGAGTTCTTGAAGAAGGGTCTCGTCGGTCATTTTGTGATGGTGGATGTGGGAGTTAGATTGGGGATGTGGAATTTGATCAAAGTCCAGAAAGCCAGAACGTATTCTGCCTTTCTGGCTTTGTGGAAAATCTGTTGTGGAACCTTTGTGGAAAAGTTCCAGAAGAACTTTGTGTAGTATAATTGGCTCATCACAGTTCTCTCACATCATGGTTTTTCTTGTTTCCGCTATTGTTTATCTATGTACGGTAATGGTAGTGCAGTGTGTATATTTTTCGTGTCAGTCACTTGTTTTTTTGCTCTGTGCAAGTCAATTCATTTTGTTCTTGCTTGTCTGATGTGCTGATGCCTGGTGTGCACCTGAATCTGGCACCCCCAGGGATGAGGGCAACAGCCCTCATCTCTTGTGGCTGTGGGGATGATGGAAATTTCTCTCATCTCTACGGGCTTGGGGATCAGGCAAAATTTCTCCTCTCCGCAGGCTTGGATCTACAAATGAGTCCAAG